TGGGAGAAAGATACTCAGAAACTGGGGAGGATCCGAGAAGGCTGGGTGACAGCCAAGCTTATGCCGCAGGAAGGGTCTGGATAGGAAGCTGCTGTCTGTGTCACCACCATGGATCTGGCTGCCAGCTGCCCACGCCTTTGGAACAGTCCATGAAGATTCAAAACCCTGAATAGGGGCATCTGATTTTTCCAAGCCTGGACAATAGGACATAAAGACCCATATGCTGGGAGATGCCCTCTGAATTAGAAGGCTTTGGATGCTGGTAGTTTAAACACACACACACACACACACACACACACACAGACATACCTCAGAGACACCATGCGTTCGGTTTCAGACCACAGCTATAAAACGAATATCGCCAAAAAGCAAGTCACACGAACTTTTTGGTTTCCCAGTGCATACAGAAGTTGTATTTACACTATACTGTAGTCTGTTAAGTATGCAATAGCATTATGTCTTTAAAAAACAATGTACATACTTTTATTAAAAAATAATGCTGCTGGGGAAATGGCCCAGTAGACTTGCTTAATACGGGGTAGCCACAAACCTTCAATTTGTAAAAAACTCAGTATCTGCAAAGTGCATTTTAAAAAAGCACAATAAAATGAGGTACATCTATATGAAAATATATAATGATTTTATGTTTCAGTTACTTCTTTGTCTGCACAACATCCACATTCACTTTCTTACCCAGAGTTTGGCTTTAAAAAAAAACCCTGCCAGTTCTGTACCATTTGTTTACTTGCCAAATCCAAATTTCTTCATCTGAATCCGGGTCCAGAGCCAGGATCTCTGGCAGATTCCTCTCCTCCTCTGGCTCTGACAGGATCTAACCTTAATACTCAACACTAAAAATTAAATTGTCAAGTGAACCATCACTGATGCATCCTACATGCTACACTAGGGGAAGAAGGAAAATAAATAAAAATAAAATTAGTTGAAGTATTTAAATCTATACATAACACAGAAAGGAAGAAACTATAGCTAGAAGCTACAGTCCTTATTTATGCAAGTGGTCATGAATTCTTAGCTGGTATTTGTGTCTTCTGTTAAAAGATAATTTTAAAATGGATAAAAGCATGATTCTTGTACAAATATAAGATTAACACATATCAAAATTTTTACTTAACTCATTAAATAGCAAGGGAACCAGAAAGGTGTTTAAAAAAAAAAAAACGGTTCAGAGGAGACGCCAAAGAAAAGACACATACCAGCGATCAGGAATGATGAAATGAATTTGTTCATTGATATTCAAGTGGTTTCTTGGGAGGGTGGGGCCGTTGGACCCAATTGTACCTCCATTGGACAAAAACTCTTTTGCACCTCTGTGGACTAAATTATTTGCGTGCCAGTCAGTGTTCTATAACTTACAAAGTTGCAGAATAGCTCAGGGACGTTGTGAAACAAGACACCTGTAGAATGAAGACAATTCTTAACTAGGCTGCTCTGGCAGCACCTAGCATCCCCAGGACATCCATTCCAAAGCCTTTCCCAACTTTTCCTGTTCCCTCTTCCACCGTCTAATTCATGCTCCCTGAGCCTTCTGCTTTGGTGAGCGAGGTTTCTTCTCTGGGGGTGTGGCCTATGTCCACATTCCTGAAGAATCTGAGGCCTTAGTGGGACCTCTGTGTGGTCGTAGTAATGATCCAAACAAGGCGGTGCTAGGACATCCCCTAGAGGATCCTTAGCTCCTCCACCCTCTTTCCTGCCGCATCATGTGGCAGCAGCTCTGGTTCCCCTGGATAGTCAGGATCAATCACCCCATCAAAGCCCATGAGTCCATTTATTGTCTATTTCCAAGTGGCATGGTGGTCTTGAAATGGCCAGGTGACCTTCTAGTCTCTGCTTACAGTTCATCGGAACCACTTTGTATCTCTGGTGGAAGCATCCATCCCTCAAGTACTAAAATTATTAAAAAGCAGAGCTCGAAGGTTTGAGGATGAGAAGCAGAAATGCTGTGAGTGGGTTAGGCCAGGGGTTCTCAAACTTAAATGTGCATGTGAATAAACAGAGAATTTTATTAAAAATGCAGATTCTGATCCATTAGCTCTGGAGTGGGGCCTGAGGTTCTGCATTTCTAACGAGCTCCTAGGTGATTCCAGTTTTGCTGGTCCATGCACCACACTTTGAGCTGCAAGGAGCTGGCATTTGGCTTAATCATAGCAAAGAGCACCCCCCTTTCCTTGGTTCTTGAACCTCTGGATTCTGGCTAAGAGGCAGTACCATATGTTGGTCACAGTTCAGAGAAGAAACTGCAGCCTCACAGAATGCTGACTCCCACCTGGTTCTTCTGAACCAGCATTGTGTAAGGGCAACAGGGTGCGTGATGAAGATCAGTGACTCCCCAAAGCATCAGCCTATTGTCTTACTTCTTTTGCTGTTAAAGAGGGCCCTCGGTCAGAAGCAATGTTGGGTGGGACACAGCAAGATGAAAAGGACACTCACTGAGTCCATAGCTTGCTGTATGGCTGCCAGAAACATGGCAGTGGGAAAAGCAAGTGCACATGCCCAGTAAATAAATTTTCCAGAAAAGACTCTGTGCTGCCCGTTTGATGAGGGAAGGGGCTTGGTTGGGTGAGCCTGCTCCCAGGAGGCTGGCTGGTGCTTTGAGATATGGTGCCATCCTAGAGATGCCCAGTCACTGCTGCTGGCAGCTCGGTCTCTGAGCAGCGGTCCTGGCCAGGTTGGCCTTGGCAAGAGGGGTCCACATCGCTGAGCTCACATGCCACCTCTGTCACTTCCACATGACCACTGATACGTGAGCCCGTTGAACGTGCAACATCATGCCTGAGGTAAAAGGCTAGCAGACATCCACAGGGCTGGTCATCTCATCCACTTGAGTACCAAGAGCCTCCTCTGCTGCCAGGACCCTTTGGCAAGAATTAGCATCTGCATCCCATGTGCCCATTCACATAATTCCTGAACCACCTCAACACCACTCAGTCTTGTCCTTTCCAAGTACCTCATCATCTAGCCAATTTAAGCTGATATCTGAGGGCTGAAATCTGGAGGCAAAGGAAGATGCTCTGTTCAGGGAACTGGAAGAGACTCATTCTAATTGGAGTGGAAAATTCAAGAAGGTGTGAGTGAGGAGGAGCACTTGTGATGGAGATAATTAGTGTCTAGTTTATGCCAGGAATTGTAAGCCAATTTAAGGAATTTGGGGCTTATTTTAACAACAATAAGGAACTAGTGAAGGCTTTAAGGTAGGAAGGAGAGTTATCAAATTTGGGTTTAAGAAGATCACTCTGACTGGAGTGGAGGACAGACTGGGGAGGGAGCAGAGGTACCGAGACCAAGCTAAAGGCTGCAGTTCTGTTCTAGATAGGGGATGTTGGTGGTCTGAAATAACGGCAGAGAGATGGAGAAAATAAGATAGACTTACGAGAAAGAAGAAGGTGCAAGTAACAGGACTTGGTGATTGGCTGGCTGTATTAGGTGGTGAATGCAGTTTCCTTCAGGGAGAGTGGCTAGTCTAGAGTTAGAAGAGAATGTCAAGAACAAAGCTCCAGGGAGGAATTGATGCAGAAAGAGGGAAACCGGGACAGTTGTGGTGGTGGGAAGAGCTTTTCAGGAAGTGATGGTTTCACATCCAGCTGAAAAGTCAAGCAAGTCAAGTGAAACACTGACAAAGGGTCGCCTAAACCCCCTTGCAATGTGTTACAAAGTGGAAACCCCAGTGAGGGCAGTTTTGATGTGACGTAGAGGCTGAGCACCAAGTGAGGGGTGAAGTAGACACTGCAGGTACAGATGACTCACTGAAGGAGTTTGTAGCTAAGGGTTGTGTCAAAGAAAAACGTTTTTATTGTCATTGTCATCTTCTTTTGTTTTTAACTGAAGATACTAGGGCATGGTTTGAATACTAAAAAGAAAAAGCCTACCGAGAGGGAATTCAGGCTCCTGGCAGTGTACCTGGGTACCAGCGTTGGGGATTTCTGGATCCTGGGCCTCAGTATGCCATGGGCTTTACAACTGGACAAGAACTTGCTGGCTCCCTGCTAAGGAGTCCATTCTGCAGATAACCTCGGCAGCATGTAGTATCTCATAGAGCATTTTCTTTTGATGGACTGAGCCAGTCTTTTTCTAAATAGAGAAGGCCTCTAATTATTCTACCAGGCCACATGTTTCGGAGTCACAAAGACAATGGAAATTCACCAGAACTGCCTTCATTTTGAGAGATATTTTTGCTGAGTATAGAATTTTAGATTGACACGTTTTTCTTTTAGCACTGGGCCTGGGTCTGTTGTGGAAACAGCCTATTTGCCTCCAGCCCCAAGGTCTGGAGTGGAACTGGGGGAGGACAGGGGAAGGGGTTACCAGTGCACACCCCACTGCCTGGACACGCCTCAGCATGCACTGTCGGCGCCTCTTCTCTTGAAGGTGGCGGCCATACATCCTTGACCTTTTCTGATAGCTTTGTTGCGTTCTCTTTCAACAGGTCAAATGGATGATGTACTGGATTATATTTGCACTTTTCACCACAGCAGAGACGTTCACTGACATCTTCCTTTGCTGGTAAGTACTCCAGGAATTGGAACTTTTCCAGGGAAGGCTTTGCATAACATCAGGGGAGAGGTGGCAGGAATCTGAAAGCAGTCTCAAACCCTGCTTCAGCACAGAGAAGCAGGGCACGGATGCTGACTGGAACATTTTTAGTCAATTAGCCTATAAACTTGTTCTTCATGTAAATATTTACTGAATGATTTTCTAAGAGTGGCTGTTGTTCTTATAATGATACAGTGATGGGCAAGATCAACACAGTTCCTCGATTAACAAAGTCAGTAAAGAAACATACATATTTTTTAAAAAAAGGAAAGAAAGAAACAATATGCAAAAGTGCAATAAAACTGCTTCCTTCCTACACCTTTTACTCTCACCGTAACTACTTTCCACAGCTGTATTATATACCTTTAAAAATGTATGTGTCAGTATATGTACACACATATACACGTGCTTTTCCTTTTTTTGAAACAATAATACTATAGTATTATACCTCATGGTTCTCACTTTGTTTCTCAGATTTATTTTTGAAAGACTTTCACATAAGCATAAATAGATCTACTTTTTTTCTATTTATTTTATTGAAGTACAGTTGATTTACAATGTTATTATGTTAGTTTCTGGTATACAGCAAAGTGATTCAATATATATATATATACACATATATATTCTTTTTCATATTCTTTTCCATTGTGGTTTATTACCAGATATTGAATATTAGTTCCCTGTGCTATACGGTTGGACCTTATTGTTTATCTATTTTATATGTAATAATTTGTATCTGCTGATCTCAGACTCCTGATTTCTCTCTCCTCCATCCCTTC